TGTGGACACAACAACAGGAGATAGAGAATGAACTTTTATCATGTTGTCAAAATTATAAGATAACAGTATGAAATGTAACTGGAAAATAATCCTTTAAATTGTGTTTTCAAGTTATATATTTCAATGAAAACCACACTCTCTTTTATAGGGAGAAATTCAACACCCACAATTAATTCAAAATTACGAGTTACAATATAATATTATGGTATTTTAAATTTATGTTAAAATTGGGGAATTAAATCAAAACCAGAAAATTAAAAGGTTTTAATTTTGAAAGTTAAAACTTATTTTATTTTTATGTTACAACATAAAGAGTTTTAAAATGGGAAAATGGCTCGGAGGGAATTATGTTTGTGAAGTGAGAAGTGAGAAGGCGAAGCAGGTGATCTCTTAAACAAACATTCTTTGCCAGGTCAGAGCTACCTGGGTCTAGTCAGAGCAGTTGCTCCCAACTAGACCTTGGTCCTGCCTATTTCATTAACGATGATGCTATTTAGTACTATAAATATTTAACATCAATTTAGTTGATAATATTAATGACATTAAATTGAAAGTTCAATTAAGTATAAGGAATTGTGGTTTATTTAATAGAACCTATGATTTGCTGACGCATAAATTAGTGTTCAACACTACTAGTACTAGATAACATTATTCTTTCATCAATTACATAAGACGCAACCAATTATAAAGCCCACAAGAAAACCTTATATAAACAACCACATCAAAAGTTCAAGAGACGTATTGTTAAGAAAATCCCTTTGTGTAAGGAAAATTACCAACAAGAAACAAGAAGTTTGTTAGAATAATAGTAATAATAAATAAATAATTTTCCAAGGAGCTAGAAGAAGAGAATGGTGACAACAAAGCTGCATAGAATCTTAGGAGTGGATCGACTCCTTCCACTATAACTAATAATAGCAACTACTATGAAAGTTTGACGAAGTAGAAGATCATAAATCACCGCAATACATGATAAAATTGCTATTGCTCCTTTCTACCTCTCCTTCACAGCAATTTGTTTCCCAATTTTCAATGNCCTCATTTTCAAATTTGGTAGATAAATTCTCCGGTTTCTTCGCAAGTAGCAAGCGAATCAGAAAGACAGCCGCATCATTCATGCAGATGCATCAAGGACCCAATGAGACACTTCGCAATTTCATGACTAGATTCAATAAGGAAAGGCTTCAGATCCCCGATCTACATATTACAGTAGTAGTCTTAGGTCTGACATATGCCATTAAGTGTGAAGTATTCAAGATGTCTCTGTCTAAGACTCCACCAAAGTCAGTAACCGAGCTATTCACATGAGGTGAGAAATACATTAACATGGAAGAAATCATGACCCCAAGAAGATAAGTTTCCTCATCAGGAAAGTCTGATCAGAAAAGGCCACATGAGTCCAATCTGCAACAAGATACACATGGGGTCAAGCCAAGGCAAGACCCCTCCTCGACATCCTTCACCCGCTTGAACACATTGAGATCCAACATTCTAATGGAGATCAAGGATTTGAAGGAACTTAATTGGTCTCCTAGATTGCGATCTCCACCCGATACTCATGATAATAGTAAGTATTGTGATTTCCATAGGGATCATGGACATACAACAGAAGATTATTTTACTTTAAAGCATGAGATTGAAGCTCTTATAAAAAGGGGGTTTTAGGGCTCTTATGTTAACAATGAAAAGCCTCAAGGAATGATCAGAGCAGAGACAAGGCCCTAGAGGGTCGGTGAAATAAGCAACCTACTGCAGGTACTATCAATATCACTGTCGAATAAACAGCCTNTGATAACTCAACATTCTTAAGGCCCGATCTCAACCTCTGAACCCCGACCTTGCTTCCCTACGAATCCCTCGAAGGTGAGGTCGGGCTTATAGAGGCAGGTTAGGCATCATTGTTTATATAAGGCCCTCGATCCCCCGACGTGGTTCCTAGAGAGAACTATCCTATTCCACCTACAATTCTGAGCCTGACTGACTTCCTCTTTGACTCAAACACAAGTGGAATACTTGGAATAAAATACAAATTCCTTATCCTACGAGGATAAAGACTGCACATGGTTGAGTCTATCATCAATACCTAAAAATACATGACCTGAGCTAATTCTTCGGGTACGTTTTTCATTTTTTCCAATTCATAGCCTCACACAGTAAATTCCCTATCTAATGTAAGCATCGAAGGGGCGACGAGCACACACTTTGTTGCATTTGTTTCAGGTATTCAAAGAACGTTCATGTTCATTCAAGTTCGTCCTAGTTCGTAGTTCAATCATTCAGATCAAGATCCTTCAGGTAAGATTTTTTGATAGCATCATTGGCGCAGTATGTTGAAAACGCTACAAAAAAGCCATGGTCAATACACGTTCAGGTCTTCCTTTAGCAAGCTCATCCATTCCGGATAACCCTTCTTCTCCTGAAGAATGCCATGTTCCTCAAGAAGAATCATCAGAGATGCCAGCACCTTCCCAGTTGTCGTTACCACTAGAGCTTTTGAGGAGCTTCATCAATAAGTTGCTGCATTAACCCAATTTTTGAGCCAGAGAAATTCGCACCCGTCACATACCCCCCAATTGTTGAGCCAGAGAAATTCGCACCCATCATATACCCCAATCCCTGAAGGTGGTTTTTATGGCAGATGCTTGAGTCCCACGTGCAGCTCACGATGATGGTAGGGTTGGAACTTTGGGTGCATCGCAAATGGTTTCAAGTTCAAGGTCCGTTACAATGGACTCGCCGAACTCGCTAGGATTATTCAAGAAGGGATAGCAGTAGGTATACAACAAAGTACTTAGGCAGCAACGGGATTTATCCCCAATACACCGTTTACTCTAGTAGTTCTCTCGTATCCTCTCTCGGACAAGTTCAAGTATCCTCGGATAAAAGAGTACAATGGGATAAACCATTAACCACCTCAACGTATACACAGATATCATGAACTTACAGGTCGCACCAGATG